ATAAACTAGTCTCTCATTAAACAGTTAGTACAAATATTGTTTTATGACAATGGTTAACAACCCCATGACATGTCAACACTGTCCCTTCTCGACCTTGGGTTCCCTATTACCAGCTTTCCTGTCCCCTCCTGCCTTCTAGTCCTTGTCCCTGGACTGTTGTGCCCCATTAGTCTCGTTTTGTTTTATGGGGCTGTCTAATCTTTGGCTGAAGGGTGAACCTCAGGAGTGACTTCATTACTGAGCTAAAAGGGTGTCCAGGGCCATACTCTCAGGGTTTCTCCAGTCTGTCAGGCCAGTAAGTCTGGTCGGTTTTTATGAGTTTGAATTTTGTTCTACATTTTTCTCCAGCCCTGTCTGGGACCCTCTGTTGTGATCCCAGTCAGAGCAGTCAGTGGTGGTGGCCGGGCACCATCTAGTTATACTAGACTCAGTCTGGTGGAGGCTGTAAGCTATGGTATTTTCAATCACTTCATATGCATGTAAAAGCTAGACAATGAATAAGGAAAACTGAAGAATGTGAATTATGGTGTTGGCACAGAATACTGAATATACCATGGACTGCCAGAAGAAGGAACAAATCTGTCTTGGACGAAGTACAGCCAGAATGCTCCTTAGAAGAGAGAATGGCAAGACTTGGTCTTATGTACTTTGGACATGTTATCAGGAAGGACATCATGTTTGGTAAAGCCGAGTGTCACTGAAAAAGAGGAAGACCCTCAAGAAGATGGACTGACAGCGTGGCTGCAACAATGGGCTCAGACATAGCAGCGATTTTAAGAATGACACAGGACCAGACAGTGTTGCGTTCTGTTGTACACAGGGTCACTATGATCTGGAACTGACTCGACAGCACCTAACAACATTAAGTAGAGAAGGGAATAGATCTGAGGACTAGGTGATGACTTCCTTCTAGGGCCTCCCATGTGTAGATGTTGATGAGGAGGACTCAGGAAAGAGAATGGAGGAGTGGTCAGTGTCGTAGCTGGAGTATCAAGAAGAGTGATATTCTGAAACCCAAGAGAAGGGTTTTCTAGAAGAGTTTATACTACAAATCCAGTTCATCAGAAAATCCTCTTGGCTCTATCTTCAACATTTATCCAGCATGTGGCCTCCTGTCACTACCCCAACTCTCCAACACAGCACAAGTCACCATCAACTCCCTCCTAGGCAATTACAGAAGTCTTTAACTAACTTCTCTGTTTCTACTCTTGCTCTGCTAATAATCTATTCTCCACCTAGTAGGCAGAGTGATTCTTTTAAAATGTAAATCAGGTTATGAGGATTAAGTACTTTAAATGTGCTGATAAGCCCAGTAAGGTAAGGATTGAGCATTGATCATCTGCTTTGACAATTCATTAGTAACCTGGACTACAGAAATTTTAATGGATATACCCATTGCTGTCAGATCGATTCCGACTCACAGCGACCCTACAGGACACAGTAGAACTGCCCCATAGGATTTCCAAGGAGTGCCTGGTGGATCTGAACTGCCGACCTTTGGTTAGCAGCCAAACTACTACGCCACCAGGGTTTAATGGAATAGGCAGGGATTAAAGTCTTATTCTAATGGCTTAGAACTATAAAGGGTGGGTCAAGTTATGAAAGTTTCATCCCATTAGTATTCAGAGAAACGCACACAGTGATATCACTACATGCCCACAGCATCGCTAAAATTTAGAAGACTGAAAACACTAGGAATTACTAAGGATGTGCTAGTAGAAACTCCCATCTACTGCTTTGGGAGGAGCCCTGGCAGCACAAAGGTTAAGTGCTAGGTTGCTAACTGAAAGGATGGCGGTTCGAACCCACCCAGTGGCTCTGTGGAAGAAAAGACCTGGCGATCTGCTCCCATAAAGATTACAGCCTAGGAAACCCTACGGCGCAGTTCTACTCTGTCATATAAGGTCTCTATGAGACAGAATTGACTGGACGGGCACACAACAACACAAGACTGCTTTGGCAATGTAAACTGGCATGACATTTGAAAAACAATTTGTTACTTTCTAGTTAAACTGACAACCCGTTTCTCCTATGATCTAGCAATTGTACTTCTAAGCCTATACCCTAGAAAGTTATGGACATGTGCAAAGGTTACATGGACAATAGTGTCCACTGCAGCAGTACTCATTTTATCTCTCAAAGAAAAGGAACCACGTTTTCTTATATAACAGAACAGATGGTAAATTGTGATAGATGCACAAGAAAAAGACTAATACATAGCAACAGAAAACAATGAACTTACGGCTTCCCACAACAACATGGAGGAAACTTAAACGAAATATGGAACAAAAGAAGTCATACAAAAAAACTCCATTATTTTAATTCACTGGAAGTTAAAGGCAGAGAGAGAAAAAATTACATTGTTCTGCCATACATATTTAGGTGGCAAATCTCTAAGGAAAAGTAAGGAAGTAGTTATCATAAAAAACAGGATCATATTTATCTCTGAAGGAGAAGGGATTTGTGATTGGAACAGACACAGAGTGACCTCTGAGGCACCAACCAGAAATGTTGGTTACTTGATCAGAATTGTGGTTACATAGTGCTTCTCTTTTTAATACTTAACTGAAATGTACATCTATGACATTTATGTGTTTGCACTATATTTCTTAATAAATTTTTTAATAATTTATTTTTTTTGTTGAGAATAAACATAACAGAACATACACTAATTCAACAGTTTCTACATGTACAATTTAGAGACATCGATTACAGTCTTCAAGTTATGCAACCATTCTCACCCTCCTTTTCTGAGTTGTCCTTCCTCCATTAACATAAACTCACTGTCCCCTAAGCTTCCCATCTAATCTTTTCAGTTGCTGTTGTTAATTTGATACCATATAGATAGAGCTTGGATGGCGCAAGACCAGGCAGTGTTTCTTTCTGTAATACAGAGGGTCGGTATGAGTCAGAACCAACCCAACAGCATCTAACAAAAACTGATATATCTTAAAAGAGTACAGTGATCTAACATACATCTACTGGTCCCATCCCGGCTGGAGCAAAGGAGAATGAAGAAAATCAAAGACACATGGGAAAAATTAGTCCAAAGGACTAATGGACCACAACTACCACAGCCTCCACCAGACTGAGTCCAGCACAACTAGATGGTGCCTGGCTACCACCACTGTCGGCTCTGACGAGAATCACAATAGAGTGTCTCAGACAGAGCGGGAGAAAAATGTAGAACAAAATTCAAATTCACACACACACAAAAAGACAGGAATTGCTGGTCTGACAGAGACTGGAGAAACCCTGAGAGTATGGCCCCTGGACACCCTTTCAACTCAGTAGTAAAGTCACTCTTGAGGTTCACCCCTCAGCTAAAGATTAGAGAAGTCTATAAGGCAACTGGAGCCCTGGTGGCATAATGGTTAAGAATTCGGCTGCCAACCAAAAGGTAAGCAGTTCAAATCCACCAGCCGCTCCTTGGAAACCCTATGGGGAAGTTCTACTCTTCTGTATAGGGTCGCTATGGGTCAGAACCGACCCGACAGCACCTAAAAACAACAACATAAAGCAATTAATAACATGTGACAAATGTGCTTCATAGTTCAACCATGTATAGGAGACTCAACGGGCAGACTAGATCAAAAGCAAAAGCAAAGACGAGAAATTGGACAAACGGAAACTCAATGTCACAAAACAATTTGAGTATTACTTGTTTAATGAGAAACTAATCTGCTCTGTAAACCTTCTCTGGAAGTATAATAAATTTAAAGAAAAAAAAAAGAGCACAATGCTCAAGGCAGACATTCTTCACTAGTTAAGCTAAACTACTGTTTGGTTTTCATAATAAAAAATTTTTTAAGGAGACAATGAGTGATGAGATTGGAGGCGGCACATATACTCTTTCAAAGAGTTTCATTATAGAGCAGAGATAAGAAACTGGATGGTGACTGTAGAGGGATGTGGGGTAAAAAGGAGAGTTTTATAAAGGGGAGAGATACTGCAGCATATAATTAGGTGGATCCAGTGGAGAAAGAGATATTTATGATGCCAAAATGAGAAGAGAGAATGGTAGGAGTGAAGCCATGAGAAACTGAAAGAGAAGAGACCACATGCATAAGTAAAAGGATTAGCTGTAAATATGAGCATGGATAATTCATCCACTATGTTGTTGTTGTTCGTTGCCATCAAGTTGATTCTGACTCATAGTGACTCCATGTATGCAGAGTAGAATGGCTCCAAAGGGTTTTCAAGGCTGTGATCTTTCAGAAGAACACCAAGCCTGTCTCCCAATGCGACTCTGGGTAGGTATGAACCAAGCTTTAGGCTGGTAGTCAAGCGCTTAACCATTTGCGCCAACTGGGACTACTTCATCCACTATAACAGAAAGAAAATACACATACAGGTGGATTCATCTGGGAGCTACATGTGGAAGTTCTCCTTTAATTGCTTCTGTTTTTCTCAGTAAAATGTAAGGCAAGAAGAAATTAGGAGAGGCAACTGACCAGTGAAATGTAGTAAGAAGTACGCTGTAGGATCATAAAAGTGTGATTAGTCAGCAGTTTCTATGAAGACATTTTTAGTTGTTTGAGGAGGACATGAACCACTAACAAATAACATGCAGCAGATAAGACAACGCAGCACCCATACCTGTGTGTCATTTAATCATTCAATAAATACTTTTTGTTCATTTACTCAAGGACAAGCACTCTTCTAGGCCTAGGGATATAAAGATGAACAAACATAAGGGATCACTGAAAATATAGATGTTATATTCTAATGCAGGGGAGACTTTTAGGATATTTAGTCTTTGACGAACATAATTTTAGGGTATCAATATGTCAGGGCCATCTCTACGGGAATATGGGCCTGGAGAAATGAAAAAATGCCAGGAGAGCCCATGGTATGGGCTCTAACGCCTCTATAAGAGGTACTGGCACCTCTCATAGACATTTTTGGATAGTGTTATAAACAGACACACAGAAAAAATTTCATGATGTTAAAGAACACTAGCATGGTCCCTGCCCTGTGGAGCATGACCTCGCTCAGGTCTATCTTGGGGCACAAGCAGCCACCTCACTTGGCTTACCTAACAGACTGGCCTGTGAGATGCACACATCATTACAATGCCTCACTGAGGGAAAACAATGTCCTGGGTTAAGATGGGCCATGGGCTACAGACCAAGAGTTTTAGAAGAGAGGAAATGAGCAATGGATGTGCCCTACAAAGAGATCTCCCAGCCCTCTGGTCTGGAACATTTGGAGTTAGGTGAGCAACGGACGACAGGAGGGGACGGGGGGAGGGGTGTTCCAAGAGGCCTGACTGAGGAAGGCATGGAGATTTTGTTTCCTCTCTCAAGGTACACTCTTGCATTATAGAGTCGGTAGTCTTTCTTCATGATACATCCTTCCATGATGTCAAAAGCAGCTTAGCCAGGGAGCACTGAAGCTAACGCTGTGGAAGGAAGTCACAGAGTAAGGAAACTTTCTGAAGGACAACGGACAGATCAGAAAGACTAGGAAGTGACACAACAAGAGGCTGTAACTCTCAGAGCTAGGCGGCTGCCATCTCTAAGGCAGCCAGCATACATCTGGGGCTACCACCTGAGTCTCCGAGAGTCAGCGTGCCAGGGAGAGCTGCTGATGGACACAGGCCCTGTATCATCCACTGATTCATCTGGACCATGTCAGTGGCAGCCTCAGTGAGAGACTCTGCCTCTGTCCTGCCTTCTCTACAGAAAAACCAAGTGATTATGAATAAGACAGAAAGAGCACTTCACACTTGGACTCCCCAGATGAAGGGCTTAAGGCTGGGACTAGGACCAGTAGTACCTTCACGTGTCAAGTTGGGGATCATGTTGCTGGTGGGAATGATTTTTCTCCCAAGAATGTACTGTGGCATAGAATCGGTATATTACTCCTCCTACGAAATCGTCATCCCCCAGAGTTTGACAGTGAAGGGAAGGGAAGACCCAGTGGAAAAGGCATCCTACATGCTATATATGCAGGGCCAGAAACAGGTGATTCACTTGAAGGTGAAGAAAGACTATTTTGTGAGCAGCTTTCCGGTCTTCAGCTACCACAATGGGATCCTGGAACAAGAAATGCCCTTCATCTCACATGACTGCCACTATGAAGGCTACATAGAAGGAGTCCCAGGCTCTTTTGTTTCTGTCAACACATGTTCAGGCCTCAAGGGCATCCTGATTAAGGAGGAACAATCCTATGGCATTGAGCCCATGGAGTCTTCAAAACGGTTTGAACACGTGCTGTACACCATGGCACACCAAGCTCCAGTCTCCTGTAGTGTCACCTCCAATAAGAGTCAACAAGGGGTGTCCACCAGCCGGCAACAAGGGAGCAGGAAGCTTCGTGATCTACACGCACCGTCCTACTTGTGGTCACACACCAAGTACGTGGAGATGTTTGTTGTGGTGAACCACCTGCGGTTCCAAATGTGGGGCAGTAACATCAATGAGACAATCCAGGGAGTGATGGACATCATTGCTCTGGCCAACAGCTTCACTAGAGGAATAAACACAGAGGTGGTGCTGGCTGGAATGGAGATTTGGACCGAGGGGGACCTAATAGAGGTCCCGGTGGACTTGCAAGTTACGCTCAGGAATTTCAACAGCTGGAGACAGCAGAAGCTCTTCAGTCGGGTGAAGCATGATGTTGCCCACATGATTGTTGGGCATCATCCCGGACAGAACATGGGACAGGCATTTCTCAGTGGTGCCTGTTCAAGTGGTTTTGCAGCAGCTGTTGAATCCTTCCATCACGAAGATGTCCTCCTGTTTGCCGCACTCATGGTCCATGAGCTGGGGCACAACTTGGGTATTCAGCACGACCATTCCGCCTGCATTTGTAAAGATAAGTACTTTTGCCTCATGCATGAAAATATCACCAAAGTAGGTGGCTTCAGCAACTGTAGCTCTGACTCCTTCTACCAGTTTCTGCATGAACACAAAGGGGCGTGTCTGTTTAACAAGCCAGGGCACAAAGGTCGCACACGTAGGGATGCCATCTGTGGAAATGGTATAGTGGACAACATGGAACAGTGTGACTGTGGTCCTAATTGTGCCAGTCACCCATGTTGTAGCCCATCATGTACACTGAAGCCGCAGGCACAGTGCAGTCATGGAATATGCTGTTCTTCCTGCAAATTCAAATCAAAGGGAGTACCTTGCCGTCGTATTAAGGGAGAGTGTGACCTTCCAGAGTATTGTGATGGTCAGTCAGAAACATGCCCCTCAGATGTGTACAAGCAAGATGGCACACCTTGTGAAAGAACAAAAGCTTGTGTTTTGGGTCAGTGTAACAACCCTGATAATCAATGCATGACTATTTATGGGTACCAAGCAAGGTCTGCCCCCGAAAATTGTTATACTTCAATGAACAGCAAAGGCGACAGGTTTGGAAACTGTGGCCGTCCTACTACTTCTAATCCAAGATATGTTCAGTGTGAGGGCGATAATGTATTCTGTGGGAAAATTGTATGTACAAATATTGAATACTTACCAACAATCAAACCCCAACATACAGTGATCCAGATCCCTAATGAAGAAGAATGGTGTTTTGGCATAGATGCTTATAATGGTACTGATATTCCTGATGACGGTGATGTGCAGATTGGCACGTACTGTGCCCCAAACAAAGTCTGTATAAATTACTCCTGCATTGCTCCCCCTGTGCTCAACCTTGGCTGTGATCCAAATGTAATGTGTAATGGGAAAGGAGTGTGCAACAATTTAAAACACTGCCATTGTGAGTATGGCTTTGCCCCTCCTAACTGCAGTAAACCAGGCACTGGGGGTAGTGTGGATAGTGGTCCCCCTGGCAAGCAAGAGGAAACTGCAGGAGGAGGAGGAGGAGGAGGAGGAGGAAGTGAAGAAACCGTTCACTTGAAAGAAAAACCCCTACTAGATGTGCTAATTGTATCAATTCCTATTATTTTATTGCTATTACTATGTTTATGCATCATCTGTTGTATATATAAGTTACGTTATGCACCAAAAAAACCTCCTCCCACACAAAAGGTTCCCGAGGAGGTCTCCAAAGAGGCCCCACCAGAGGCCGCACCAGAAGAGGCCCCAGAAGAAGAAGCCGCAGAAGAAGAGGCCCCAGAAGAAGAGGTCCCAGAGGAAGAGGCCCCAGAAGAAGAGGGCCCAGAAGAAGAGGGCCCAGAAGAAGAGGGCCCAGAAGAAGAGGGCCCAGAAGAGGAAGGTGGCGAAGAAGGGGAAGAACCAGGGTCAGAAGACTAGTAGTGGGAGAATGAAGCCAAATATATCAAACAACTCCAGCACTGGGTAGGAATGAGAGGCTCAGTGAAGCAAAGGTTAAGTGGGAATTGATGGTTCCAGTGACTCTAATGAGGACTATACAGTCTGTAGAAATAACTACTTTGGGAAGAGGGATTCCCCCTACTTTCTTTATTCATTTTAGTAATTATGAATTTATTTACTAAAATGAATACATTAAATTAATACATTAACCATTTTACTAATTTTTACTTTTTTTCATTTTATGGAAGAATTTCACTTGAACTTTTTAAATGCATCTTTGACAGCAACGTCCTTGTCTCAAAACGGTCAACTTTTTATTCACTACAAAATGTTTTCCAGGACATGCCATCTTTCATTTAAATTTACATATAGTTTTATCTGTACCTGCATTTATTCCTACTGCTAGAATGTTCATCTAAAGTAACAACTACCTATTATGTTAGGACAATTGTTTATATAATTGGTTGTTTTAATTTGTCCTATAAATGTGCATTCATGAAATGAGAAGGAGTTTTTAAATCCAAAAATAAATAAAAGCATATTTCAGATGAGGCATATCTTCAGGTCCCCTGTGGTTACTGACTCTGCTTTTGTTCTGGGGTTCTGTGGGAGGAAACAGATCTGATAAGGCAGTAGAGCCTGATTTACCCTGGGTTAAGGGGGCAGTGTTGAAGTCATACAACTTCCCAAATCTGGCAGATGTTTAATATGCTGTATATTCAATCCCTCCCACTCCCGAGTATTTCCAGGCCCCTCCTACGGCTCTAGTCTCTTTTTAGCTAAGAGATTTTTTTTTCTAGTGCAGTTTTCATAGTTCTTCCTCTATACTAATGTTCTTGGGATAAATTCAAAACCTCAGATATCCCATGTCACCTGCTGGTAGCACCAAGCCAGTCAAGTACCTCTCTAACTACTTGCAAACCTCTTACAGTTAGGAACCTGTATTTATACTTATTGTGTAACAGTACAGAGGCACCTACCACAGTGCTGAGTACATATATGAAATCAATATTTTCTCTGCTATTTATTGTAATTAGTAACTTACTGATTTACAATCAGAAGGAATCTTTTTAACTTTTCAGGTGTAAATTATTTCTTTCGAAGACAGCACAAAGGAAGTATACTACTAACATTACTCATCCTGTGCCACACACTGTGCTAAACACTTCACACTCATTGTCTTAATTTACTCCTCCAAGCCACACTATCAGACCTCCATCTAGTACATGAGGATACAGAAGCCAACAAGATGATAAAAGCAGTCTAGAGCTAGTAAGAGGTGGAACCTGGGTGCCTCCCCAGGTATGACTGAATCTACATTCCCCACTGCCTCCATGAGCCTTTTACTTGAGTAAAAGAAGTGAGGGGGAAGACACTCAGTATGTTCCCAGTTGCCCAGAACGTGGCTTTTCCTCAGTGGCTCTAATGAAGGAAAGCCTTACAAATGGATGGTGATCTCTATTGTGAACCTACCACATTGTATAGTCCATGTCCATTTAAGCATCTTTTCTGCTATTAGCTCCTGACATCACAGAGTGGCAGGTTTGCATCTTATTCAGCTCTGTGGGCTCTGTACCTTGTAGGTATTTAATAAATGTTTACCAACTGAGTGATTTAACCATAGCCAACCTTGAAATATAGGGCCTGATTCCTCCCCTGGGCAGGATGCCTCTTGCCAGTTTGTGGCCATGGAAAGACCAAAATCTTGCTCAGGTGCAATACTGCTACAGACTGATGAACAATCAAGAGAGTCATAGAAAGATTATAAAACGCCAAACTTCAGGAAGTGAAGGTTAAGGCTATTAGGTAGACAATGGCAGAAGACTGACCAGTTTTAATGTGGGCAGGAGTGAGCAGGTAGGTGTAATTCGGGGTCTGACATCTACAGAGTTCAAGGGTCAGCACTCCCTGTAAAACCTTGGTGACAACAGTCTGTTCTGCAATATGTAGGACTGCCTCTAGGAAGTGCATTCTTTAGCCTGGGTTATATAATCTCCCAATACGTGTGGGGAATTCTGGGGAATGCTTACTAGTCTGTATTGGCTGCCATTTCTGACCCAGCCAGCTGCTGCTTCAGAAGACTTTGATCATGACCTCCTGCGATCCTTTACCTGCCGTCTCTGGGCTGCTTCGTTCTCTCTGGGCTGCCTTAGGCCAGTGGAGACCCAGGCCCTTTCCTTAGTTCCCCAAGACACAGCCAAGTCCAGGCTCTAGAGTGTTTATCCAGACTCGGAGAAAACAAAGGTGAATTACAACATGGAGAAGAAAACACACTTGGATGCTGTAGATAATAATGTTTCTGGAGTCTACAGGTCTTGTCCCTCCACTGGGGGACTTAGATAGGCCATCTCTCTCCTTAGCCCCGACCTGACATCCTTTCTTGTCCCTGTTGGAGTCCCTTTGAGAATGTCTTTCTAACCCAGAGTGAAGCTCCACTCCCTTCTCTGGGGCGCAGTGAAAGGAAAAAACACAATCAGTTTACAGAAAACCTACATTCTGCCAACAATGAAGACAAAATGATGCATTAGTTTGAAGAAAATTTAGCTTCTTGTGTCTCCAAACTTCATTCTTGAACAAGATATTGTCTTGTTTGGGGCCAAAAGTCTCGTTGCAGTGATTTCTCAGCAAAAGAGCAACAAGAACATTTTGGAAGATGGCAGCGTGAATAGGTCTAAGATCCTGACCCTGCCACATAACCACCAAGAAAAGCAACTAGAAATCTGCCCTCAACCCTGTAAGAACTCATAGATGAAGGATGGCAACAACAAGCTGCAAACTGATGCAAGCTAAAGGCTGTTATTGATTAAATTGTGTCCCCCAAAAATGTGTGTCAACTTGGTTGGGCTATGCTTCCCAGTATTGCGTGGTTGTCCTCCATTTTGTGATCTGATGTGATTATCCCACGTGGTGCAAATCCTAACCTCTATGATGTTATTAAAGCAGGAGTAGAGGCAGTTATGTTAATGAGGCAGGACTCCGTCTACAGGATTAGTTTGTAGCTTGAGTCAATCTCTTTTGAGATATAAAAGAGAGAAGCAAGCAAAGAAGAGTGGTACCTCAAAGAACCAAGAAAGAAATGCCGGGAGTGGAGCATGTCCTTTGGACCCATGGTCCCTTCGTTGAGAAACTCCTAGACCAGGGGAAGACTGATGACAAGGACCTTCTCTCAGAACGGACTGAGAAAGAAAGCATTCCTCTGGAGCTGATGCCCTGAATTTGGACTTCTATCCTCCTAAATTGTGAGAGAATAAATTATTGTTTGTTGAAGTCATCCACTTGTGGTATTTCTGTTACAGCAGCACTAGATAACTAACACAGAATTTGGTACTGGGAGTGGGATGCTGCTCTAACAGATACCTAAAATGCAGAAGTGGTTTTAAAACTGTGAATGGGTAGGGGCTGGAAGAGTTTTAAAGTGCCTAATTGTCTGTCAGTCCACCACTCGTCTGTTAGTTTGCCGTACTGTGGTGGCTTGCATGTTGCTGTGATGCTGAAAGCTATGCCACCAGTATTTCAAATACTAGCAGGGTCACCCATGGTGGACAGGTTTCAGTGGAGCTTCTAGACTAAGACAGACTAGGAAGAAGGACCTGGCAATCTACTTCTGAAAAAATTGGCCAGTGAAAACCTCATGAATAGAAGCAGAATATTGTGGGATACAGTGCCAGAAGATGAGCCCCTCAGGTTGGAATGCACTCAAAAATACGACTGGGGAACAGTTGTCTCCTCAAAGTAGAGTCAATCTGAATGATGTGGATGGAGTCAAGCTTTCCAGACCTTCATCTGCTGATGTGGCATGACTCTAAGTGTGAGAAGAAACATCCATTTATAATTGAAATGTGTAATGTATGAAGTATGAACCTAGGAAAATGGGAAGTCATCAAAAATAAAATGTAACACATACAGATCAATATCCTAGGCATTAGTGACCTGAAATGGACTGGTATTGGCCATTTTGAATCAGACAATCATACTGTCTACCATGCCAAGAATGGCAAATTGAAGAGGTATGGCATCACACTCATCATCAAAAAGAACATTTCAAGATACATCCTGAAGTACAACGCTGTCCGTGATAGGATAATATTCATATGCTGACAAGGAAGACGAGTTAATACAACTCTTATTCAAACTTATGCACCAACCACTAAGGCCAAAGACGAGAAAATTGAAGATTTTTACCAACTTCTGCAGTCTGAACTTGATCAAACATGCAGTCAAGATATATTGATAATTACTGGTGATTAGAATGTGAAAGTTGGAAACCAAGAAGGACTGGTAGTTGGAAACACGGCCTTGGTGACAGAAACAACGCTGGAGATTTCATGATAGAATTTTGCAAGGCCAACGACTTCTTCATTGCAAATACCTTATTTCAACAACATAAACTGTCATTATACACGTGGACCTCGCCAGGTGGAATACACAGGAATCAAACTGACTACGTATGTGGAACGAGATGATGGAAAAGCTCGATATCATTAGCAGAAAAATGACAGGGCCTGACATGGAACAGACCATCCGTTGCTTATATGCAAGTTCACAATGAAGCTGAAGAAAATAAAAGCAAGTCCACAAGAGCCAAAATACGACCTTGAGTATATCCCACCTGAATTTAGAGATCATTTCAGGAATAGATGTGATACACTGAACACTAATGACCAAAGACCAGACGAGCTGTGGAATGACACCAAGGATATCATACATAAACAAAGCAAGAGGTCATTAAAAAGAGAAAAAAGAAAGAAAAGACCAAAATGGATGTCAGAAGAGATTCTGGAATTTGCTCTTGAGCATAAAGTAGCTAAAGCAAACAGAAGAAATGATGAAGTGAAAGAGGTGAATAGAAGATTTCAAAGAGTGGCTCAAGAAGACAAAATAAAGTATTCTAAAGAAATGTGCAAAGACCTGGAGTTAGAAAACTAAAGGGAAGAATACACTTGGCATTTCTCAAGCTCAAAGAACTGAAAAGAAATTCA